CAAAAAAAAAACCAAAAAAAAAAAAACCAACCAACACAAAGGTTGTTCATTCAGTGGCCTCTTGCAAAATATGGCACACTGGAGCTGACAGAGCCAGAACTTCAATACCAGTTTGGAACAGTTTAGACTGTAGACTGAGCCATCATCACAGGAGTACTGGGGGGGCTAAAACCTAGTGCTGTATATATTTCCCTAAGGCCATGAATTAACTCATCCAGCTTCTAGACACATAGTGAAGAAAAGCTCTTAAAGCCTTTCAGCACTTAATTTGGCAGGCTCCCATCTATATCAGAATTGGGCTTCCCATTTGAAAACCAGCAAAAACTTGACAGCTTTTCCCAGTGTAATCTGGCAGTGAGAATGGAACAGAAGCTTGGCACAGGGGTTTCTGTATACCTATTTTAATCCATGTGGTAAGATGAGGACACATTCCAAAGAACTAAAATCAAAACAATCAATTATTTCTGCCAGCTGCAGCTAGTTTTGGTCTACACACACAATCCACAAAATATAACCAATGCTGAAGCAATCCTAAGGGAAAATTGTGAATTTTTCAGACTTGTAGACTTATTTGATGAGATCACATTTATGGTGCAATAATGTCATACCATTTCAGACCTTTACCTCTCTTCTAAGAATAAACAATGCTGCCAATTTCTGCCAGTTATGTGATATTCCAGGGTGTGAAGGGATGCGCGCAGAAAATACTGAAGAGTGAAGTTTCAAAACAGCAGCATTTTAGAGAAATAACACCCACATCATTTCATAGCAATTACTTAAATATAAAACCAAAGGGAAATCAAGCCACCTTCCTTGAGTTGGCACTGTGCAAGTGGCCAGCTTTTCAAGCCTTAGATTTAATATACTGCTCACAGAATTTATCACATTCAGTTCTTTTATGACAGATAGTAAAACTTGATGCTTGTGTGTGATTCAGAGCTGTATCAAAATGTGTTCCTGAAGCACTGCATTGTGCTGAGCAGTTTTTCTTTTTACACTTCAATAAGTTTACCACCTCTCTGTGTGTAGTGTCCACAAAATATCTGTTATAAATAATAGTACTGAAGATTCACCAGTGCCTGAACGTGATTGCTGCAGATTCCATGCATATTCAGAATAAGTAGTCAAGCCAAGAGAAAAAGAAATAGCTTATTAAATGCAAAGTGAAAAGAAATAGAATGAACAATACAGATAATCAGAGACAGCAGGAGAATCAAAACAGGAGATTGTTTCAAAGCCAAACTTGATCTTAGGTCAGAGAGACAGACCTCTGGATAGCTGAAACGGATACTAACAACCCAATCTCTCAAGCTATCATTCTTAATTGAACCACAATCTCCAACATTTTGCAAGTGCAGTAGTGGATTCCTGCTCCTTCTGATCTCCTCCTCCTCAATAAACCAGAATGTTACCAAGGAAGAAACGCTGTGAGGAACTACATACAGTGAAATGTAATCTGGTGAGCTAGAGAATTTGGGCTAAAGAATTTGTTAGTGTCATTACAATAACACAATCAGCTTCCAACTCAGACTGGACCCTTTTATGTGGGGTACCCCACAGAAATGTCTTTCCTGCCTTGAGCTGTTTACTGTCAAGACAGATGAGAGAAAAAAAGAACGCAAATAAACAAAAAAAATCCACCTTACTTGGTATTAGGATCACTTTGTACTATTAAGAAATGTTTTTATTTTCTAAAATATTACATTGATATTGTATTGGCAAATTCTTTAGTTTTACATGGATTTACCATTTTTCAGAACTGTCTCAGAAGCAAAGCCTCAGAGCTACAGGTGAAAAAAAAAATCGAATAAATACAGGTCTGTAATACAATGCCACTGTAAAAACAAAGGGACAGTGGTGTTTTGAGAATAGCTGTATTTGTAACTCAGCAGCATAATCTATGCTCCATGCAGGCCTATTGCAGATCTGTCAGAACCCTAACCAGAAAGCAGTGTACAGGATTCCCAATTCCCAATCCTTTTGAAGAACACAGGAGAAAAATGGAAACCAAGTTACACAAAAATTTCAGGACATGCTGAATAAAGAGACATGTTTAATATCTCCATGAAGAAGAAATCATTCAGTTTCTTCCAGCACATCAAGAACTGAGCTGACTGCTACATGATCTGATCTGCAGCTGAATTCAGCCTTTTAAATCAACAGCTGAACTATTGTGAGCTACAGCTAACCTAGCTTTCACTACCTGTATGCCTATGAGGTTTGCTCATGTATATACCTGACACAAATTTTGCTCATGTTTTTGCACTGCCTAGTACTCTGAGTCTCACTCTTCAGCTTTGCTTGCAGACTTCAGCTGCAGGTGTTAGCTGTCAGACTGCTGCACTGCAGCACCAGCCAGGTTTGTACACAGCACAATCAGTCCTCTAGGGACCTTGGTGCTGCTGCTCAGACAAATAAGCTGCAGAGGAGGTTCCAGCACTGCCAGCATCATGCTTCAAGCAGCCTCCCTTTCTTTTGCATTCTGTCCTCTAGCTACTTAGGCAGCAATCCTGTTCTTTTAAAATACTTATGTTTAAATACAGTTCCTTGCAACTTCAATTTGTTGTTTTAAACCATGACTTGAATGTTGGTCTTGCATGCACTGACTGCTGCACAAATACTTAGGAAAATTAAGTCATTTTTTACCTGCTTCTGTACTGTTTTAGTTCCCATAGTCAACCAACATCTCATCCAACTTCTTTCTGAGCTGCTGTTCTACGTTGTTTGATAAGTGTCACCTTCTTTCTCACTCTCCTGCTGCTAACAAATTTTACTGGTGATATTCCTAAATGAGGGCATATAACCAGGGGCATTCAGTGCCTCCACACACACATGATCATAAGGTTTATTAGGGCATTGGCACCTTCAGCTTTTTGGCAGAACTAACTAGTGCTTTTAACTGTGGGTTCTGCCCACAAATCTTAAGGCTGCACATCCTGGAGAATATTACCCTCTCAAGTTTTGTTCCTTGTTCTAATTTCAATCTACGTTAACACAAAAAATTAAAATGCCATGGAGATTTTCTGAAACAATGTTACTGCCAGAGCCAAAGGTCAGCACTCCTTTCAGTTTAACCAAATAAGATTTTATGATGGATTTTCATTTTACGAAGAGCAAGCTCTTGAATTATCAACAACCCTCCTTCCCCCCAGCTCCAGCAACCCTAGGCTAGAGGATACCACAGAATATTCCCAGGAAAACACAAAGTATAATATTTTCTTTAGCTTGTTTTTAAGCTACTGTGGTCAATAAGACTTTTTTTTAAACCTCTCTACCTGAACGAGTTTCCATTGCTCTCAACTTCAGGCTTTTCAGATCGTTTTCAAATGCTAGGTGTTGTATATACAGGAAATGGTATAATTCTGAAAACTTTACAATATTTTGTGTAGTCAGTGATGCTTACTGGTGTGACATAAACTAAGAACCACATTATTTAGAGGCTAATGTTTTCAAGAAATTAGATCTCCGTCAGCCTAGGCTTATTTCCTCTGAGTTTAAGTGTGCTAACTATGAAGAAGGAATGCATTTTGAGCTTGTTTTCATCTCACTTTCTCAGAAGAAACAGACAAAACTGCTCAGGGATAATGGCAATGCCATTCCTACCCTCTTCAACATGAATTTTGGCTGTGAAAGGTCTTGACACAGAATAACTTGAGCAGAAGTGCTTGTGGGCAAACAAATCTGTAGTCTGCTCACTGTATTCCAGATGGATGATGTGCTAAATTTCAAGAGTCTCAGTTTTCAGAAGCAGATGACAAAATAGTGACATACGCAATAACTTATTAGGCAGAGTATTTTAACCTTGCTTAAGTGAAAAAATTCCAAGTAAATGTTAAGATGGAAACTGCTGCCCCTTTAGCCCACTTCTAAGCAATTGTATGACTACATAGAGGACTCTACATTTAAAACACACTGCAATTCACTTCCATTACTTAATTGTTGCACAGATTCAAAACCAACAAAACCTCATAGTTAAAAAGGACCAGACATTTTTCAGTCATATTATCTACTTGATTACCTAGGGAAAGTCCTTTCGCTTCCTGGCATAGAATATTTGATATTCTCTCATTTAAAAATTCAACTTAAATTATTTCCAGGAATTCTACCCCTAACAGCCTGGACAAGCAACATAGCACTAAATTACATGTTAGGGTACCAGAGAACACACAGTACTGATGATGAAAAAGATAGTCCATAACATACTTAATATCAGGCTTTCCGGTGCCTACAGATAAAACGGTAGTTTTTTCCTTAGTCCTCTCTAGGGTAACAACCCTCTCTCTGGAGAGAATCAAGACAAACCCCAGATTTCCTATCACACATTCACAGAATTTCCTTCAGTACAGCTCACATCACTGCAGCTAAAGCTGTAGTTGATACATACGGCCATGGAGTGGCAGTCTAGTAACAAAAAAAAAAAACTGAAACAAAAACCAACAACCAAATCCGGTGTACTTGATATTCCAATAGGAGGACATTTCCTAATAGCTTAAAGTTTGCAATAGGGTTTCTAAACATCACAGAAGAATGAATGAGGCACGAATATTCCCTCGGAAAAAAAAAAAAAAACAAAAACAAAGAAGAAATATCTGGTGTTGATAGAAGCCAACTAGTAACAGGAGGCAGAGGAGAGAGATGGATAATGAAGTGACAGAGGGGGTCACACCACACACCCACTAAAGCAGAACTGATCAGACAATTAGTCCTACCTCCAGAAAGCTACAGGACAGACTTACATTAATAAAAGGTAATTTTCAGTCAAGCAGTTTCACAGACTTCTCATTGATAAAAACACAGCCAAAAAGCTTCTGAATGCTCAAACAGTATTGCATATCTAAAAGGCCAAACAACAGCGTATCATTGTTTGTTCTGTTGCTTGCCACAGCAGTTTATGTGTGAAATCAGAACAATTAGATCACTTTGTAGTGAACTTTAATTTTATGTGGAATCAACTCCGGTTATAAGCTTCAAGCACACATAAAACAATATGTAAAGTAACACTGATGCTAAGGTTCCTTTGCATTTATGTAAATGGTAATTGGGATTAATTCCATTAAATCTAGTGAAGTTGTACTAGCATAAAATCAGTATGAAAAACGCATTAGCCACAGCAACTTTTCCAGGGGTTAGTTCCCAGAACTAACTAAATTATATAGCTCATTGTGCTTTAAAACATAATTACCCAATGCAAACCATATGTAGTTATACTTCAAACAACTGCAATTACCAAATTTAGTTATTATACAATAAATACCTTCATGTGGCAAGCCCTGATTTCTGTATCTGCGATGGACACGTGTTCTTGTTGCTCTTCAGAGGCTATAACTAATACAAGATAGAGAAGAGCTGAAAAAGAAATGGCAGCCCACCAGTAATCAGGTACTGGTCATAATGCTCCGTCACATGACACTGCAGTAAGCCTGTAAATTACACTGCAAACTGAAATGTAATTTTAAAACTGAAAAGCACTCTCACACAAAGTTGAAAAACACTTCACTGGCATACTGATGTCTCCTTAAATTACTATATAACCAACACACCCTTGAATCCATCTGACTTATTTGATGGACGTTCTGTGCTTGAATTACAGAACAACAGTAAATTTCAGTCTTCCCAGATGTATAAAAATTACTCTCAATAGTCCATACTTAGATCCTTTCTCTTCCACTTAAATTAAATTTATGTCTTCAAAACATAAAAAAAAAAAAACAAAACAAAAACACACAGGAACCTCCAACCTCTTCTGTTTCCTCATGGATATCAAAACACACTCAACATTTTTCTTTCAATTTATGTGTCACTACCACTTACCCTGCTAATACTTTCATCATTTTAACTAGAAAAGGAATGGAAATCAAATCCTCTTTAATGGCTCACACCAATGGAGCAGCCCAGCTCAATAGCTCCTCCTCTAAAAAACCTAATGAGGCATACTTCTAGCAAAAAAAAAGGTAATCAGGTACTTAACCTGTAACTCTAACAATAAGCAGTTCATAAACATCCTGAATAAGAACTAGTACCAGCAATACTTTCAGAGGTATAAACTACAATCACAGGACTCATACTCCATTTTAGTTACTCTCTTCTGAACCCATTTAAGCTGTTTACTCACAACCACCATGCTGTAATGATTACAAATCTAACAAGACAAACTAACATGCCCTCCCAGGTCTCAGCTACTCTCCATGTATAGAATCAATTACCATACAGGTATTATAATTACAAAATATACAAGAAAACTTAGTTAAGCAGATCATTACACCAAAAAGAAGACAGAGTGCTTACCCTTGCCCTGAGCTCACCATAAAGCTCCAAAAGAGGAACATCCAGAAAAGATGCTTCACCCTTCATAGTCAGCTCTTAAATGGGTCTAGGAGAGGTGCAGCCAGGCTCTACCCCTTCTGGCAGCACAGGTGAATTGCTTTCACCTGTGCTCCCAGGGCTGACTCATCACTCGCCTCAGTTCAAAGGTCAATCAGAGGTTCAGACCACGATTCAGCAGTCCTCATACACCACACCTCCCACTAGATCTACCACCTCTTCGCTATGGCTTTAAACCTGTAATCAGATCACTTCATTAACTGCCCTCTAGCCCTTGTCTTATGGGAATAACATTGCCATAGACTCTACTGATCAAAATTAAGGACAAAAGCATTGTGTACCCGGACAGCTGCTACTCCCATGGATCACAGAAATGATGGAACCCAAGGGATTAGCATAGAGCTACATCAGGGTGCAAGGAAAAGGTTGTTTTTCGGAGCATGGTCAGGCACTACAACAGGGTCTCCAGGACAGAGGTCACAGATGCAAGCAACCAGAGTTCAAGAAGTGTCTAGACAATGCTCTGTGGCTTAATTTTTAGAATCCAGGAGATGGATTGCATGATCCCTGTGGGTTCCTTCCATCTCAGGATATTCTTTGATTCTACGATTTATTCCTAGTAATTCCACTAATCTCTACTGTAGAAAGCAGAATTCCTGTACTAGAGCTTCTCCTCCCATTCAATGCAGGTAACTCCAGCAACAAGCCTCTAGTGACTGGAACAGATGTTGCTGTTTATTTAATTTATTTATTTTACTAATGCACAGCTTCCAGGGCCAACAAAGGAAAAAACATTGCATTCCGTCAGGATTATGGTTTCCACTGGCTACATGCTAAAGGACAGAATGCTTATAAATAACCGTTCCAGCTTAAACTTAAGGAAAAGAATCTCAAGGCAATAGCATTTGACAGCTCACATTTTGTAGACACGTAAGTTCTTTGGTGTGCAAACCTTTAACTGATTCTCACTTAGAGACAAATGTGGACAGCTCACACTGTACAGTTAGGGCACGTTCCTGGAATTTCAACAATCCAAGTTCAAAATGAGCAACATTACACCGTTGTATGAAAACTGCTGAGTCGCAGCCTGAACCTCTGATTGATCACCTGAGACCAGCAATGAGTCAGCCACAGGAGCACAGCTGAAGGCAATTCACCTGTGCTGCAGGAAGGGGTGGAGCCTGGCTGCACCTCTCCTAGAGCCATTTAAGAGCTGACTGCCAGTGAAGAACCATTTCTTCTGTAGGTCTGGTCTCTAGGTGTTTTTTTTTTTTTTTTTTTTTTTTTGGTTTGGGTTTTTGGTTTTTTTTTTTTTTTTTTTTTTTGTGAGCTCAGGCTGTAGGTAAGCATTTTATGTTTTCTGTTTTAGTGTAATAGTTTGTTTAACCAAATTTTCTGGTGTGTTTTAGAATTATAAGGTGTGTATATTTATTATTAACTTTGTTTTGTTTGTTTGTTTGTTTTGTGCAGGTAAAAAATAATTCTATATGAGTTTCTTCGAGTTGGAGCCTTGTCCTGAATTAGACTTATGAATTCACACCCTGCAGTCCAGAAGCTGCTCTTTGTACAAAATGAAGAGATTTTTTTTCACCAGAAAGGAAAGCTACCTGTTGAGGAGCTGTTGTTGGTCTAAGATGTAATACAGTAATAGATAAATTTTCTGGACAATCTACATGCCCAGTCGAGTTTCTCTTTAGCCAAAGAAATTCCAAGTCACTTTTTTTTATTAAAATTTTAAATTTTTATTTATTTATTTTTTATTACTTTTTCCTTAATCATTGTTTCCTACTAAGTAGGAAACTTCTGAAGTGGGACTCTTTTGAAACTGGTGTGCTAGGGTGCAAAGAATGCAATGCTGGGAGGAGTAAGCAAGAGAGATGAGATCATACCAGCTGGTAGGTAGGAACTTATTTCTCTAAGAGGAGTCCACTCTTTGATCTTAATCCTGTTGATGCATGCTATTTGGTGACTCTTAAATATGAGTGATTATAAGTAGTTCTCTTCTGGTAGATATTAAGAAAAAAAAAAAAACTTATAACAGAAATAGTGAGTTACAGCTTGAATTGAGCACCAGGTAGGAAGGTAGGGCCAACTGAGGGGAGCTCAGGTGCATGCGATGTATCTGAGTACTAGAAGGGATAGATCTTGATTCCATTCTTTTGTTGGCTTTATTTAAGGGCTGGCAGTGGAGGCAAGGGTATTTAGTTGAAGCTCCCTGCCTGCTTGAGGCCTTCTAAGAGTAAGCAGGCTTTTTTTCCTGTGTTTATTGTTGCTGTACTTGAGTTTATTTTCTCTTGCTGAAGCCTGGGACTTCACCACTATGCTTTTATTGCTGTGTTTTCCATTGTGTTGTAATATTACAAATCCCCATAGGATTTTCTTTCAAAGGATTTGGGTACATCCTAATGATAATTCTTGGTTCCAGCTGTCCAAGTGGCCCATGGTCTTCAATTCAGCAAATGGTTTAGGTTTTAAAAAGCTGCCTGTTGATTTTCTTAAAGTAGGGAAGGACCTTGAAAATCTGGGTCTTTGTGTCTGTGACTTTACTAGGAGTCTTAGTTAAGGTTTGGTCTTGACTGTTCTCAGTCTATCTATGAGTCTCTAATTGTCCTGTGACTTTGTTGTAATTAACCTTGTACAAATGTATCCAACATCACTTTTGCATTATGTGTTTGGCATGAATGCATGTTGGCAAAAACTTAGAAGAATTTTTTGAGAAATTGAACAAACACTTCTCTGAACCCACTTCATACTTAAATATTTAGCTATAAACTCCAGAGACAAACTAAGCTACAATACAGAACACCAAAAAAATCCCACGTTATCCAGAAAAAAAAAAACAAAAGCAACTTTTTCTGCACTTCACAAGCAGGAAATAGAATGTAAAGCTCTCCATCTTCGCAAGTGTTGTTTCTTTTAATTTTCTTTGCAGGAATTAACACCTGACTTGGTAAGCTATCTGACAAGGATAAAAAAGAAATCACTGCTTCATTCTAGATGTGAGCAAGGAACAAAAAGGCAAATGCAGGGGGATAAAACACTACTACAAATTACTCTCTGATTCATATGGTTTCTTGCCTAGCATCTGCATATCTCATCTCCTGACTAGTAGAGGCTCATTCATAGAGGAAATCAGTATTCATACACTCACTTAAAAATGCTACTTGCTAATATTTCATTGTATTGTAAGAAAGACTTGCAGACTTATTAAATCTTTTGCTGACTGTTCTTCTCAGGCATGCAGATGGACAGTAGTATGACTAAGAGGCCAGCGGCACATACAGTATCACCATTTCTTTGTTTCCCTCTGCTGATTTCCTGCAGGTGCACAGTCATGTTACTTCAGGAAAAAACCTACGATGTCCCATTTCACATCTGGCAAATAGGCTTAATGCAATACAGACTACAGGGTTTTCCTGTATTGTAGGTAACCTATTTCCTGCTACCAGTAGTTCTGTGATTAGCATACCAAAAAACACAAAATAGAGGGTTTTATGGAAGCATAGAGGCACACAACTTTGGTGTGGCAAAATAGTGATGTAAGAGGGTATTAATGAGCGTTATCTTCTAAGGAGTTTACGTGGATCACATTGTAATTAGCTGGGAGTGGGCCTTCTGTCTGAACTTGTGCTTAATGTTCCTGTTGAGGTCTACCAAAATTCTCCCTAATGATCAATGCTAACTTTTATTTTTTTTAATATCTGAGATACCTGAAAGATTAAATCAAGTTTGTCTAAGGTGACTTTCCAGGGGGCAGGGTAGAATGCTGGGATGTTTGAGCTAATGGCTATGATGCGACATATGGGCAGGATATAGGCTATGGAAGAGTAGCTTTGGCACTGTTAGCTTAAATACCATGCTAGCTAATCATAGTCTGTATAGCCAGAAAAGCAGAGCAATGCTGATAATCTAATTGTCATTAAGAAACATATTATGCAGTTCTGGGTCAAAACTCTCACTGGACCTTGGAGTGTAATTTGTAATTAGAAAAGCAGGGCTAAGCCTCCAAAGGAATCTACTACTGCTTTTTCCCTGGGGATATACTTTTCTTAAATATCCTTCAGCAATATTCTTAAGGTAAGCAGTTTGCTAGGGGCCAGACATAAATCTGGGTTGGCAGGGATGGATTAGCAAATCCAAAAGAAATCTATGAGAGACTGAAGAACTATGTCTACCAACTGTCCTGCTATGGTAACTGCCTAAAAATAAAAAATTATGTCTTCTTGTTTGCTTCTGTGGTTAAGGAGGTTGCTGTTGCTTTAGAGAAGAATAATTGAAATTATCAGTTAACCTCCTCCTTTCCAAGTAGACAGTTCGCAGGATTTATAGCATAAACCCAGAATTCTGCTCAATGTTTTCAAAGCATAAAGAGAAAAACAGAATCTGAATAGAATGAAGGCAAGCTCTCACATAACACTGGGGACAGTATAGAACATGCTTTAGACCCATACACTCAAAGAAAAACCATAAAAGAAAAACAATACAGGGAGGGTTTTGGAATCATATGTTGTTTCATAGGTCTTCATGTGTCGCAGCTTACTCTTGCCCTCATGCTGCTTCCTCTTGTGCCAGCGTAAGGATTTACACAGTGGCAGATGAACCAGATCAGAGACTTGATGCAGATTATAGTTAACAGGAGAAAAAAGGGGGGTTAATTTTAATCTGAATCAGGTAACTGATCTTGCTTACCAAATAGCTCTACAAATTTTCTTTGCACCAAGAAAGATGAAAGTTAAGAAAGGAACAAAATCAGTGGAGGAAGGCAAGATTATATTTTTTTAATAGCAGTGCTGATCTGTGCTATTTTAAATCGGATGAGAAATTGTAGACTATAAGTGGACTGACTTTTGGACCAGACTGTATTAACTTATTCTCAAAATTAGTGTCAAGCTCTTATCATAGACCAATCTGGTTTTAAGAAAGAGAAATTATTTTGTTACAAGGGCAGTAAATTTATTTTGTCTCACAAATTACTACTTTATAGTGGTCATAGGTGACTCTATAACTAAATGCCAGTGTTAAACTTATT